CAGTAATAAACCAACCTTCGAGGCTATATCGTAGGACACTCCAGGGGCTGTTTTATGGCAAGCAAAAGGCAAAACTAGACCATACAAAGCTCAATAGAATCGAAGTGTCCATGTTTAAAGCTATAATTTGTGGCTTCCGGGTATGCAGAGAATAAGACCTATAGGCGAAAGGGACAGGAAAATAAGCACATAAAAAACAGACAGTAAACAATGACTATAATGTGATTGCCAGCATACATTCTTATTTCGTGGTCTTAGAATCTGTGTCTCATCTCATCCCGAGGTGAGAGCTATTGACTCTGTAGCCCGTTACGCAAACCCTTTATTTCTCTCGCGGTGGCAACACCTGTTCACCATTTACGGTTCCTCTGATCCAACACCCCTATTCTACGAAGCAGATTGGTCTAAAGTATTCACGTTACTAGCCATTTATGTTATGGTCCGCAGACATCGACAGGACAGCAGTTAGAATTCTCTGAATACTTCAAATCATCCAAAATCCAGCTTAACTTTCATAACCACGGAAGAGGTTTTTTAACTGCTCCTCTGATTAACGCTTCACAAAGGTTTTTAGAAATGACATTAATCTTGTATTTAATGTAACAATTGCTGTTTAGTCAAAATGCATTTGTGAACTGTTCGGTGCAAAACACCAGCCTGCAATGCTCAGCGCCATCTCATTGCCCATACCGTATGCACGGTTTCTGAAGCATTATCGCAAAAGTCTGCTTTGTATGCTGTCGCTAAATAATCCGCGTTGCGTTAATTAAATCCAGATAATATGAAGACTCAGGTGCAAGACTAATCGCAAAAGCTCCAGTGCTGTAATATCATCATGTCCGTAAAGCAGACTTTCAATGGCTACGTTCAGAGGGCACTGACTAACTACGTAATCCAAATATTTTCAGGAATGTTGTTAAAGTCATCATCAAAAAAATGAAGGTAGCTCACATCTCTAATGTTAAACAAGTTGTGCAAGAACGTTAAAATATATATGTCGTTTTGAATATTCTCCAGTTATGCAAAGTTGTCTTTGGCGTTGCAAAAGTAATCCTGCTTTTGAGCA